TTGCTGCTCTTTCAAAGGCCCCAAGTTCAGTTCCCAGCATCCCAGTTAGGTACCCGTAGCTGCTGCTACAAGGGATTCATTGCCCTCTTCTGGCCACGTGCATACACTCACATAGACATAAGCACATGCACATACATTTTTAAAATGTTAAATCTTAAAAAAAGAGATGTTGTTAACCCCCAGCAACAACACACTAAAAATAAAAACAAAGCAAAGCAACAACAACACACACACAAAATCATGGCAGACCACACACAGTTTGATTATTGATGTTTAATTGAAACACAGGTTTGGTCTACAGGATGGCAGCAGAAAGTGGGGATGCGTGAGTAGTTCTCAGGGCCAGTTGTCTGTCACTCCTTTATCTTCTAACTCAATGTTTAATCTGCACTGAAATTTTCTCTTCCATTTTCATGTGTTCTGTCATTTTGCATGGAACATTTCCTCCTGTTCTTTGAACTGTCACCCACAGTATTTTGCAGTCACAGTTGTCATCCTGTGACTGTGTCTTCTTGGCTCTACTGAGTGCTGTATGAGTAAGTAAGGCATGTCTTGATCAACCCTGCTCTCCCTATAGCCCTGGACTACAATAATCCCTCTCTCCTTCCCCGTGTCCCTCTTCCTCTCTTTCTCCCTCCCTTCCCCTTCTTTCTTCCCCTTTTTCTCTCCCTTCTTCTGCCTCTCCTCTCCTCTGTTTTCCCTCTCTGCCTCTGTCTTCCTTCTTTCCTCTCCCCTTTCTCTCTCTTCCTCCATATATGCACACACAAGAATATTACACAATGGCATATATTGACAAAATTTCTGTACTTCATAGCTATTTAGGAAACTAGTCCCACTTCTTTCTTTTATATGTGTGTGGTGGGTGCACTCCCCCATGTAGACACTTATACAGGCCAGAGGTTATGACCCTTATTTTTTACTTATCATCATCGTCATCATCATCATCATCATCATCATCATCATCATCATCATCATCATGTGGAGTTCAGAGAACAAGTTAGTGGATTCAGGTCTCTCCTTGTACCTTTACATGGTTTTATGGGGTCAAACTCAGGTATCCAGGTCTGTGTGACAAGTGCCTTTACCCACTGAGCCATCTCCCTGGCCCAATCATCTTATTTTTTATTTTTCTTTCTTTTTTGAGATGACTTTTATATGTGCCTGGGTATTTTGATTATATATACCACGTCTCTGCCTGGTGCTCAAGGCCAGAGGAAGGTGTTGGACTCCCTGGAACTGGAATTAAGGTCAGTTATGAGATGCCACGTGGGTTCTGGGATCTGGACCTGGGTTCACTGCAAGAGCAACAACTGCTTTTAATCTTTACTACAGAGTCCTCTCTCCTCCCCACTCGCTTTGTATTTTGAGTCAGGGACCTCCACTGAACCAGAAGCTCACTGTTTCAGCTAGACTGGCTTCATTTAATATTATAGTTTTAAAAACAGCCTATGTGTGACATCACAGAATCCATCCTACTAAGTTAGGACTGTGGTCAACATCGATCTATTTTATGCAGATGCTCTTCAAAATGGCAGAAATCCAGAACTCTGAAGTGAAAAACAGGCTCAGTAAAATGAGAAATCACACATGGTGAGTTTCCTTCCCCAAAAGCATCGCTCCAAGGTCTTAAATGTGGTCACAAATCTTTAGCTGGAAAAGGGGAGGAGAAGGAATTGTCATCACGGATTCTTTCACGTACTACGGCAAAACTTACTCTGAAACTTTTACGTCCTTGACAGTGTTCTTCCTAGTGACCCTTACCTTAGTCCAGAGCATGCCCAGAATATGCTTGTCCATTGAAAAGACTAATGAGCATGGGATACTAACCAGCAGCTCTGAGAGCTCAGTCTTCGGCATTTGAATGCCTCCAGCAATGATAAGCAGAGGATTGCTGGTGTTTCTTGCATTTCTGTTTCTCTTAATGTGAGAAAGCTTAGGCTTTACTTACCAAAAATCACTTTCACCTTTAATTTTTGAACGTTACACCAAGTCAAAGCATGTTAACAACAAGAAAACTGGTCATGATAGGAGGCCATGATAATGATGACTAGGGTGGGTTTTCTAAACCTTCTTATTCTGTTTTTATTCTGATTTTACTCATTTAAAGGAGACACATTTTATTATTTTTTTATTTGACAACTTTTATAAGCCAGACAAAAGTCTGTATTTTATGTTCATTATATGATAATTAAATTACTATGGGTTATAAAGGAAGAATTAATGTTCTCACAAGACTCATGATTAAGTAAGTGTTGTCTTCATGTGTTTATACAATGTTTTAAAATGCATGAAGACAGACCATTCATTTTTCATTAATTCATCTATGAATTAAGTTGGCCTAGCCACAGTGCACTGCAATTCTTGGTCATAGGGATAAAATGCAGTGACCTCGAGCAGTGTCTGCCTAGAGTTGGAAAGAAACATGAACTTAAAAAATCTCAGCACCACAGAATATACAAAACAAATATAGTATCTGACATTTGAACATTTAAACATAAAGCTATTTCTAAAGTTCATCTGACATTTTCTGGCCTCATAGAAATCTGATGAAAAGAGAAAATTCTATTTTCCAAATGGCCATAATTGAAAGAGAATGGCAGATAATTAATGAAGTATCTATAGGATATTAGGCCAATGACATGGGAAACCACTACATTGCATCAGTTCTGGAGGTTTGGGCTCTTTGTTCCAGACAGGAACTCTCTATGGAACCCAGAATCACAACTGACATGCCAAGAGCTGGAATTGTAGATACATGCTAACACACCTGATAAACCCATAGTTTTGTAAAACAACTTGGAAGTTCATCCTTCATTCACTCAGTAAGCATGCTAATTAGCTTCTAAGTATGCACAATACTGTAAGTCCCAAAGTATTCCGATCTGTGTAGGCTGCCGCCATTCGGAAGCATAAATGGGCTCTTAGTTTGTACTTTATTAATTACCCATTGAAAGAACTTGGAGTGCAATTACTGTATTCTGAGTGTATCTTGAACAACAACTACAGTTCTCATAATACAGAGCTTCCAGTATGGTAGATAGAGTGCCGTCCCGAGACTTAACAGACTCAAGAAAACTCACCAATGAATAAAGAAACAGGGTCAGGAGAGTGAGAATACTGTCGGCAGACTGTAGGTTGACTGTGGACTTTAACTGGAAAGCTTTCAAAACAATTTCTTTCTCATTTTCACACATATACATGGCATGGTCAGACATAAATATAACAATATTGCTGGTTGTCATAAGTGAACTTAAACAAACCCCAAACTCGCCAGAGTGCTGGGGAAGCTTCTGGCTGGCCGTGGCTATAAAACAGAATCTCATGCCCTAAATTCACGAACTCTCTGCTCCCTGCCTTGTTGCCTTTTGAATTAGGCCACCCTTCAAATGAGGTAAATAATTGTGAGCTGATACTCTAATGCGTCTACTTAACATTTAGTAAGATGTAATTAAAAACGGCATTAAGACAGAAGATTAGGAAAACCGACAGCACTCTGTATATGCTTAAATCTTTAAACATACCAAGATCTGTTTTTCTTTTCCTTTTTTTAAAAGTCTGACTGAATCCAGTGTATGGCAGACATCTGTTTAATTAAAACATCTCAGTTATCCTTAAGAAGAGTAAGTACTGTATTTCATCACTATAGCCAAACACAGCATAAAAAGTTTCCCTTAGTAAAAGGTCTTTGTGTGTATTGCAGCCTTCACAACTATTATGCCGCTACAAAATGATTGATAGACAGGAATTTCGTATGTAGATTTCCAACGCAGTAAAAGTCATCAGACCAGAAGAACCCTACAAAGCGAAAAGCTGTCTTATAAGGAATATTAGAATGAAAAATTATTCTTTTTTTCTCTCCTCCTCTTTCGTTTCTTCGTTTTTGAATTGAAAGTTCGTACAACATATTCTATTTATGGTTCCCCTATTCCATCTCCTCCTTACCTCCCCGCCCATCCAATTCTAAACATCCCAACTTGAGTCACTTATCAAGAATTTCAGGGTCTTTAAAAACGTGCGTGTTTTTCTCTCGAGGGTCTCACTAAGACTTATCAACCGTGTAGGGAAGAAAACAAAAACAAAGCCAGAAAAAAAAGTCTGTTAACAACGAAGTCCTACTAGCAAAGACAACAAAAATAAAACAGGTCATCACAACCAAAAAGCTAGGGCACAGGTGTAGTGGAATTGGGCCAATTGTCAGCTCAGGATCATGTGGGAGGAAGCCTTAGTTCATCAATGGCACTTGCTTTCTGACTCCTCAAGGGCTTTCACTGATGCTTTTTGCCGAGGCTCCAGAGTCTGTCTGCAGCCTGTTCTGAATCACGGAGACTTTCAGTTTAGAGACCAACCCAATCCTTTGCCTCTCCTGGTCCTCGGGAAGAGGAGGTGAGCTGAGCAGCTGGGCCAGTTACCTCCCCAGGGAGCCCAGGCTGGCTTTAAAAACTTTCCAGCGCGAGTGCCACAGCGACGGGCGGCAGCTGAGTCGGAGCCCACGCGGCCCGCGCCTCCCGCGAGGAACTTTTCGGAGTGGCGGTGGCTTGTCACTCTCGCTTTCAGACGCGCCTCCCCCTGGCTCGCGCTCCCGGAGCGCCCTCCCTCCTGGCGGGGACCTTCCCCGGAGACCGCCCGCCCGGCAGTCCGCGTCTCGGCCGCTCGCTGGCCCCAAGGCCCCAAAGAATGTGCGCCCCTCTCCCTGGCCATCCAGCCGAGTGCCCGCGCCACCGCCCCTAGGCTTTGCAATATGCTTTAAGCGGCATTCCGCGCACTGAGAGCCGCCGACCGTAGGGCGAAGAGGAGCGGGGGACCCGGGGCGTGGAGGAGGGGACCCGCCGCCTTGGAGCCGACTTTTCGCCGATGGTCCAAAGCGACGCGTCCAAGTCGCCTCCCATAGCGGCGGTGGCGCAGGAGAGCCAGATGGAGCTGCTGGAGAGCGCGGCTCCCGCGGGGGCGCTCGGAGCACAGGTAGTCACAGCGCCGCGCCTTCTGCTGGCTTTGTGAGCCTCAGGGCTCCGACCTCAGTCCCTCCCGCCGCCTCCTTTTCCTATTGCAGACCTCGCTTGCCCCTCTTGCTTAGGTCCCCTTCGCCACCTCCTCCCCCATCCCCGGGCTGACCGGGACCCTGCCCCTGCGCGCCTTCCCGGGTTCAGCTCCGGCTTCCATTTTTTTTTTCTCTGCTTTCTGAAAAGCCAGTGGGAAGGGGCGAGGACGACCTGCTGCTCCGCCCCGGCTTCTCCCGGGCCACGCCGCTCGCCGGTCCGCGCCCCTGCCCGGGAGAAGCACATGGAGAGCTATGGACCAGGCGAGCGGACTGGACCGGCTCAAGATCGTGAGTCCTGGCGGGCGGGAAACGGTTTTCGCACCCTGCAGCGCCGTTTCCGGCTGCCTCTGGTGGTCTCCTCTAGCTGCTGGGCGGGGAGGTGGGATGCTGTGCAGGGTCGAGGTGGGCGTGGAACCCCCTTGCCTAGTCCCCGGAGAGCAGCCTCTATCCCCCCCTCGGCACCTGGGGCGCTGTGCCACCCAGACAGTGCAGCTGTCCCCTTGCCAGGGTTTGCCTGGACCCCCAGTTCCTTTGCTTTGAGAGCATAGAGTTGGAGATGAGAAAGTTTTTGTTTCTGTTTGCCCTGAAATGACAAGTCATTCTAGCTGCTCCTGGCTTCCCTTCTCTGATGAGTATTAGCGGTTTCTGGAAAAATTCTGTTCCGCTGCTCACTGTGAAATAGGAGATCTCGGTTGTAGGCGTAGGGTGTGATAAGGTAGCTTTTACGTAAGGCTTTGGCAGGTACAGTTGGGATTCCAGAGACCCCCAGTCCTGGGCGGTAAGGAGTTCCTCAACTTTTATTCTTGGGGCAAAGCCTTCAAAACCTGACACTCGGGCTAGTTGGAGAGTTGTGGCAAGAGTGTAGGGTGAGTCCAGGAGAATGCTTCGCCTTTGCTCTATTACCTTGGCTTGCTGTTTTCAAACCCACATTTGCCAGATTGTAAACTGTGATATGTGTGTGTACATAAATAATACATAGCATAAAATCCGCTGAGACGAGTGTTTACTGTGTAGTCGTGGGGTGGGAGTCGGACGTTCCGAGAAAGGTCACAAATAATATGCTGTTCCCGCTCCGGTCGCGTTTCTGTGCTGTGACAATGGTAACCCATGTATTTAATTCAAGCTCTCATGAGCTCCCCCTGTGTGTTTGTGACCTTACTTGGATGTACATTTGCATGCTGCTACTCATGCACGTGTGTGCTCACGTGTGTACAGGCTGGAAGGTTCTGTGTGCCATGTCAGAGGGTAAGTTGCAGAAGGCCCGGGGGTTCTCTCCTTCAGCCCTGTGGGTATCGGGGAGGAGGGGGTTGAATTGCAGGTCTTAGGGCTTCCTGCCTACAGTATTACCTGCGGAGCCATCTTGTGGACTGTTTATTGAGCTCTCTTTGACCACTGGAAACTACAGGTTCTAACTTAGAGTGATTAGAGATGGGGAGGGGGGAAGCATGGACAATATGGACTTGTAAAGCAGAAACTCATTTCTTTTTGGTAGAACAGGTAGGCTTCAGTCTGCCTAGGTTGTTGTCTGACAAGCTTAAGCGGGGGACCTGTAATTAACCAGATCACTCTAAGCCAGATTCTGCCAGAGGATCCGAATTTGAACCCACAGAGCTCACGTTTGTTTTAGGCTCCTGATTTTATCATGATACTTGCTTGCCACGGAGACAGGTGAAGATGTACTCAGAGACTTCAGCTGTGCAGGGACGAAGGGCTTGACTCTTGAGGGAGGAAGGTAATTGAGATGTCTCTTCTCTTTGAAGTTTCTTTAGGTAATTTTTTTAAAGAAAAGTTTTTGTTCTTGTGATTAAAAATAGTACTTTTTTAAATCTTGGTAATCAAAGTTAGGGCTGATACACTAAGAGAAAAAAAAAAAGACCTGTATTCAGGTGAGAGTACTAATTTACCTGGTTGTTTCTAACTAAATGTAAGACAACAAATATTCAGTGGACAGCTGCAATTGGAAATTAATCTAAAGTGGACAGATAGAATTTTCTCTCTTCAAAGAATTTATATTCCCGTATTTCATGAATGGCAAAGGAGACATTTGCAGGGGGGGAGTCTGTTAGCAAATGTGGTGAGTTAAAAAAGAGTAAAAGTCACAAGTCTCGAGATATCTGCAATACTTGACAAGGGAGGTGGCATTCGAGTGGACAATATGAGGATTGCTAGATTTCAATGAAAACTTTAAGACATACTGGGAGCCGCAACTGGGCGTCTTCCCTACCGTGTGTGTCTGTAATCCTCAGGGTGGAGAGCAGGGGAAGTGTTGACTTGGGGACTGCCAGGCATCCGGTTCACGAGGCTATTTGAAATCACATCTTGGAGACTTGGAACAACAGAGATTTGTGAAACGGGTTCAGAAAAGGAGCCACCTGACAGCTCCCTGGCCAGATCCATGGAGAATGTTCTGTAAGGTAGTTTGCTGTGGGCAGCAAAGCTGCAAGAAGGGGAGATGAACAGATAGTCAGCAATTTGGGCAAGGGCTAATATGTCTAAAGTCAAAAGAGATGAAGAGATCATGGCTGTGTTAGGTAGGCCTGTGACCATCAGACCGTTCAAATACCAAGCCAGGAGAAAGAACACGTGACTATGCTGATATGGGAAGGAGATGGAAAAGGGGAATGGATTTTATAAGTACGTGAATGCCAAGCAAGGTTTAAATGTTTATCCGCTCCTGCTTTGTTGGGCTCCTAAAAATAAAAGCAACCGTGCCTCCGTGTGTTTCTCCCACATGCGTTACGTGAGGGCAGAGTCACACTGTTTATTTTATATCTGTGGGCTCTGGCAGCATGGGGCCCCAGTGAACTTGGCAAACCCATGAGCCCTCCGATCTTCATAGGGGCAGAACAAACTGGTTGTAAACTCCACCTGAGAAAGAAGGCTGCCTTCGGAGTATCTCCCCCTCACCCTTTCCTATTTCTCATTCTGTATGTGTGAGTGGGGGGGGGGCGCTTGTTCTTTTGCTTAAGGTGCTAAATAATAATAATTCTACCCAGGAATGTACAAGTGTAACCTCCATCGACAAATACACTTCTCAGCCATCGTTGACTCTAGAAATCAGTTTCTTCTTCTTCTTCTTCTTCTTCTTCTTCTTCTTCTTCTTCTTCTTCTTCTTCTTCTTCTTCTTCTTCTTCCTCCTCCTCCTCCTCCTCCTCCTCCTCCTCCTCCTCCTCCTCCTTCTTTCCTCAGGATTACCATTTTCCAGGAGAAAAGCGAGAGATATAGATTCACAAACTCACCGTTTATTTTGCCTATGGAGATGGAATAACCTCATCCATTTGAGCTCTGCTCTCAAGTACACGATCAAGAGCAAAGTGGGTGTGTTTGTGATGTGAGAGGTTCAAGGTCATGCCAGTACAAATCTTAAAAGTTCGGATTTTTACCAGGCTGCATTGGTTTTTAAGTCATGGCTTGGAGTACGAGAGCATATCTGCAGGCAGAGGGCCAAGGTTTTCCTAGGACTCTCCAAGCTCCAAATCTGATGCTCTAACCATATTAGGTGCTAGATCCCTGGGGCCTCAGGTCACCTAATATGTGGCTAGCCCAACCTGAGGTGTGTTCTGAATATGAAACACAACCGAGATTTCAAAAACCCACTGTGCAAATAATAAACAGGACATGTCTCCATTAATAACTCTTACACTGAATACATACTGAAGTGATGGTATTTATTTTGTTGTTAAATGCAAAGATAAATACAAAGAATGCACTGTTATAATTCATTTCCCCTGTTACTGCGGCTACTAGAGAATGTATATTACATAGGAGTTCACATTATTGTTGGACAGCATAACCGTAAACATTGTAGCTGGTCCTTCTCTAAGGACTGGGACAGCTCCTGGGAAGGTTGGGTAGATGGGGAGCGGTTGAGAAGGACTGGCAATAAGATAGTAGTGACACAAGAGGAAGTGGCCTGGAAACAGAACAGGCACTCTGCAAATTAGGCCTCAAAGAGCCCGGTAGCAGGCCAGCGTCTCCAGTCACACCTGACAATGAAGGACAGGAAGCAGAGGGCCTGTTTGTTTTGCTCCTAGCAACAGATCCCAGCTGGTTCTGCCCCAGCCAGCTCCCCAGCTGCCTTTCAGCGCACCATAGAAACAGAGTCTGGTCATGGCAACATCCTGACCTGCTGGAGCAAGGGGCTTTATCAGAAAAGAGTGGCAGCCTTCCTTCTGGCTCCCCCAGAAACACGCTTAGGTCCTTGCTGTGTTTAAGTCTTGCCTCCAAATGCCGTGGACGGGTTCACACGCTGTAGGCGGTACTCAAGCCCTTATTCCTAACGATTGGTTGTTTCCTGTTGAATGGCTCTAGTGTCAAGGCTTCGAAGAAACTGAAATATCATAGCAGTTCGAAATTTCTGAGTGTGTTTTTGGAATTCCAAATATAACATTTGAGTGATATGAGGTTTAATTATTCTATAGTTTGAGGCCTTCCTTCCACTCTTCTCCCCTCCCCGCTCCCCTAGTGTTTCACACATTCCAGGAAAGCACTCTATTACAGTTCTACACCCACAGCCTCGCTTCCTGTTTTATGATTCACCTGTCGCTGCCTTTGACTGCATTGTCATATGCTGGACGAAGTCTTGACCTTTTCTCGTCAAGTTAGCGAAGTATGCTAACCCTGTGGAGGAGGGGAGTGGAAACACTCTTCAATTTTGTGACACTCAGACATATCTATGTTTTACTAACCATGGCAAGTACTGCATATTATTATTATTTTTTTACAACTGCAGAGTTATAATTATTTATTATACCACTTAAAACAACTGAGCTTTCTTAGGAATCTTTCCAAGCCTGGCATTGTGAAAAAAAAAAAAAAAGACACATCCTGCCCCTGGCCTTTTTCCCTCTCCCTCTCCTCTTCAGGCCCTCAGGAGACCTCATCCCCCAAGAGCTGCCTCCTGATTCTGCTTTCCTGTGAGCTGGAGCCCTGTGAAAACCAACTGTATTTCCCTTTTCCTGAGGAGGCAATCTCAGCTACTTCTCACCTAGTGAAGGACTTAAGGACTTACACAGCCAAGAGCCCGTAAACAAGGGGGCTTAATGGATCCCTCTTGAATAATTTTGTTCATGTTGACATTGTTCCTCAAATGCGGAAAGTCTGGAATTCAAAGGGATAAATGTCAGCAACAACTAATTGAGCAGAAGTAAACTAATTGTAGGCATCAGCATTTTGCCCGTGGACAGCGATTTGCCACAGAAGAGCATCAAGCACACGCATCTTTCTTAAGCTGTCCCTGGGGGCTGCCATGGCAACTTTGTTTGTCCTGCTGAATTCCCCATAATTAACGACTACTGTCCCCTTTCACTCATCCAAAAGCCACACTTCAGCTACCTCGGCAAACACGAGCATCTATCTGCTGCTTCCAAAGCAAGTCTGTTTTTGAAAATTAACCCGTGGTGCAGGTTATTCACACAAAGCTGGAATGCAGCAGATCACCGTGTTTTTGGAGTATGTTTTCAAATATGTTTGTGTAAATTTCTTAATTTTGTTCTAATTTCTGAAGTCTTCGATGTGTTCAGACAGTTTAATTATGTGTCTCTCCCTTGCTGCAGTGACACAATTTAAGTTTCGTAGCTACATGTCAACACCATTCTGAGTATAAATCAGTGATTGCGGGGGGGGGGGGCACGGCGTTCCAAGAGGAAGTCAGGGAGAGCGTGTGGAGAGCGTGTGTCTGTCTGCTTTCTTTTCTCCCTCCTCCTCTTGTCAGCTGGAGCCACTCTAATGCTTAACTGCCTCGAATACTAGGTGTCATCTAGTTGCTAATCAGCACCAGAGACCTTTGTTTGTACAGATAGCTGTGCCTAAAGCAGATAACCAAGCAAATGCGGCTTCTTTTCCAAATATAGCTAACTAAATAGTGTCGAGCTCTTGCACGCCCTCCAATGGGGAGAACGTTCCCCCTTTTTACAGTTTTTTTTTCATTTTAGCGCTAAGATAACAGGGTATTAAATCATTTAAAAAAGCAAGCCATTTCAGACAAAATGGACTTTACTTTTAAATATACATTGAACTAAAGGAAACTATTTTAGTTTTGGACAGATTCATACATGTACATAATGGTTTTAGTCTTTTTTTTTTCACCCCTATTACTCTGTCTCATTCATTCTTTATTCATTCATTATTCTTCCTTCCTCTCCTGGCTGAACCCTTCTTCTTCCCAAGGAGTCCCTCCCTTACTTCCTTACTGCGTGCACTGCTCGTAGAACTTAGTTAGGATTGACTGCATGAGCAGGGGTAACTTATCAGTAGCTACACACTGAAGAAAACGACACCCCGCCTGGAACCGCCACAGGGAGTGAGGGGCCATCATGAGCCCGCCCATTACAGGCTGGAATGCTGGTGGACCCAGTCTCACGCACGTCTGTGCAGGTGACCACTGCTGTAATGAGCTCATGAGCTTTATTAGGTCACACCTTCTTTTTTCCAGAACTCCTCCTGAACCTCAGACTCTCTTTCTGCCTCTAATTCTGTGATGATCTTTGGGTTTTGGTGGTGGGAGGTGATACAGTTGTCCCTTGTAGGGCTGAGCATGCTCCATTTAGCAAAAGAGTAGCAGTGGGTTCTGCCTTAGGGCCTATAAGCTTGCCAGACACAGGTTCCTGGAAAGTTTTATAGTATAGTTCCTGTGGAGTAGGCCTTTAGACAATGAAAAAATTACACTTATGTTGAAATGAGTAAAATAAGAGGGTTGAGATATAAGTGAGCATATTGGCTTATTTTGACTCTAATAACTATGACATGGAGTAAGTAAATAGCAACTGCCTATAACAGTATAAAATTCCAAATGCTTAATGCTTTTAGTCACTCCTTAAAGATGTATGTGATTGAGGGAGAGTGTAAAACCTACTAGTGGAGTCTGGGGAGGTGGCTCAGTGGATAATGCACTTGCCACGCAAGCATGAGGACCTGAGGTTGATTCCCCAGAACCCATGTTGAGCTGGTGGCACACGGCTGTAGTGTCAGCGCTTCTTCAGTGAGATTGGAGGCAGGAACTCCAGACTCCACAGATGCTCATGGACCAGCTAGTCTGTTACCCACTGCAGCATAGCACAAGAGACTGTCTCAACCAACACAGAAGGTGAGGACTGATACCGGAGGTCATCTTCTAACCTCCATAAACATAGACACAAACCTACACACACATCATTCACACACGAAGATTAAAAAATCAGCAGTTTGCATATACTTCAGTAGGCCTTATATTTTTAGAGGATAAACTGTGTATAAAGCAGTTGAAAATTGAAAAATCCCGTAGTACATATATTCTGTTAAAAGCTAAGCATGCCTAAAATAATGTTTGTGAGCAATGTTACAAGGAGAGTTGAAAAATTAATGTGAAGTTTTGAAAGTGTCTGTCTGTCGTCTGTCCTTCCTTCCTCCCTCCCTCCCTGTCACTCTTTCCTTTTCCCTTCTTTCCTTCCTTCCTCCGTCCCTCCTTTCTTTCCTCCTTCCTTCCTGTTTTCCTTCCATCCTCTTTCTGTCCCTCCTCCCTTTTCTCCTTCCTTTTTCCTTTCCTCCCTTTCTTCTCCCTCCTTCCCTTCATCCCTCCTTCCTCTCTTTCTCCCTCCCTACCTTTCTCTGTCCCTCCTTTCTTTTCTCTTTCCTTCCCTCCTCCCTCCCTCCCTTCTTCCCTCCCTCCCTCCCTCCATTCCTTTTTTCTCCTTCCCTCCTTCCTCCCTTCTTCCCTCCCTCCCTTCCTCCGTCTCTCCTTCCTTCTATCCTTTCTTCCTTCTCCTTTTGAAGTATAGCAGCCTCCCCTGGGATTGACTGTCTTCACATTTGTCCTCTATTCTCCCAGGGCTGACTGTGCAATTTTGAGTAGCTAGGAAAAGCTTAAGACACCCAAGCAACTGAAGAACAAGCATTGTTATCATTAAAAAGATGAAATAAAGAATAACAGAACTGCTGTGTCTAACCATTTCAAAATGGTACCAGAGGGAAAAGATTATACAGTCTTTTACAGTAAGATTATATTTTGCCTTTTTCTCAAAAATAACACATTCTTCACTAGAATAAATAATGTGTTTTACATAGACTTCTTGCACATATCCTAAAGAAACATGCTAGATCTTATAAAATTCTTTCAAAGTAATAAGTAATTTTCCATATGGAATAATGCAATTTAAAAAAATATAGGGGATTTTCATACCTCATTTTAGCCTTCTTTGGCCTGATAAAATGGCTTTGTCCAAACCTTTGCAGGATAATTGGAAAAGGAGGAGTGTTGTTAAAAGAATGCTATTTTTCCACAGTTTGCTGAGTGATGTTTATATAAGTAAGAAGAATAAGCTGTGAAGTGAGGAGAGCCTTGTATGTCACAGGGAAACCCAGCCCCACTCCCCTTGCCTTTGTCAAAGTTGGGAGTTAATCAAACGCCATGGAAACATGTTTGTCTTACATAAAGCCAGCCCTTAGATACTTGGAACAGAACAAACATATTTAAGAATTTTCTCTTTAATATTGCACCACATTCTCACTGATGGCAAATCCATTTACATGACTCAGAACACAAATGTTCACAATAGATTTTAGCCTGCATAAGTGCTACATATATTATGCTTTATAAGGTGTTCTTAGTTTTATGAAAACCTTATAAATAATCAAACATAATCAAGTAGCATTTTCAAAACATTGAGTGTGGTGATTTTTAAAAGGCAGATGGTATAACTTGATTATTTAGTGAAGTCTCTATAAACCTAGTAAAACTGATGTCATGTACGCCCAAGCTGTCCCTTCCACTCCTGAGGCTTCATATGGCTTTCGCTTTTCGTATAGTACATGGACACATATTGTGAGCTAGCAATTACACTAAATTCTCTCTCTCTCGCTCTCTCACTCTCTCGCTCGCTCTCTCGTTTGAAGGAGGTCCTCCCACATGCCAGGTAAACATTCTACCACTGAGTTATATTCAGAGATCTTCATTAATACTTAAAAACAAACCTACGACTTTTTTGTTTAATACTTAAAAATAATCACATTTGAAGGTAACAGTGGTGCTTGAGACTTAAAGAATTTCCTTACCGTACGTAGGAGGCAGGATTCCCATCTATACATATTTAGCTCTGAAACTCAGGGTTGAAGTTTTCGCGTGTACACATTAGATGGCAGAGTAAACTGTTTTCCTCAGAGTTGTAAGAATGATAGTTATGTTTGAATTGTCTCTCTCTTAGCATCAAATAGTGCATAGTTTATTTAGAACTCCGAATGTGAACTCTAGAACAGAAATAGAATAGAAAAAGCAAGTTTTTTGGTAAACGTTGGTGCTGTTATCGAAAGAACTCCTCTTTGTTTCTCCCGTTTTCACCTTTACTTTCTTGGTTGTCAATGCCTTTTAAAAATGCTTTATCTTTAGTGGGTTTTCCTCTCAAATGCTAAACTACTGCAGTGAATACACATTGCCCCAGTCTACTGCTCACTAATGCTTTGTCCAGACTCCACCTCGTGTACTTACAGATCTGAAAGAAGTTTAAAGGTTCCCCAATATTAATTTTCCAATGGTGCCCATACAACAACAAATGTGTTACCAATGAGGGCTTCTGACATTTTCTTGAATGGGGTAGATTCCCGTGGAAGGTTCTAGTAGTCTTATTTCTGTCTCTTTCTCTTTTCTGTAGTCCTATGGGAAAGGAGCCAGGAGGAAAAATAGGTTCAAAGGCTCAGACGGAAGCACGTCATCCGACACCACCTCCAACAGCTTCGTCCGCCAGGTAAGGGAGCTTGAGTCCGCGCTGCTGAGAGTACAGTGAAAATAAAGTGTTATTTTTTAAGTGGTTTTAAATTATCACTCTGGAGATTTATGCAATATTTTTACTTGAAATCGAAGCGAAACACATGCAGTTTAATGTCCTAATGAAAATATTTATGCTTCTAGTGTGACTCTGAATAATAATTGCATTCTTGCCTGGCAAGTTGGGGAGAATCCGCTGCAGAATTCATTAGGGAGCCTTTCTACTCACAGAAAGGCAGAAATGCTACCATAGGAATGAGCTTTGGGTTTTGATAGTCTTTGGGGAGGGGGCATCCAGGTCCGAAACTATGAAATGGTAATATGGATTATTTCGTTAGCTTGTTTTCCTTCTCCTCCTCTTCTTCTCTTCCTCCTTCCGTCTGTGGCTTTAAGTTGAGGAAGAGAAGACTGTCCTTGGTCTTGAATGGTCCTCACGTCTATGGTTAAATCGACTGTAGATGGCTTCAGATGTAACTTAGCTGTTTGCTGTTTTTAGAGATGGAAGCAGTTTTTATGTCAGTCAACTGTGGTAAAGTCCTGCCCAAGAGAAATCATCAGGCTGCCTAAATAAACACTTGTCTATTGCAAAAGAAAGTGTTTGTGTCCCAGAGGAGGTACACAGTAATCAGTCCTCCAAAAGGCATGATTATAAGCCCAGCATTACCTCACGAGACACAGGTGAGCATGTTAGAGCCTCGTGAAGTGTGTGGGTGAACATGTTTACATCTAGCACCTCTCGGTGACGCTGGAGATGGGAGAAGGACCTTAAGGACAGCATGCTTTCCTGGCTGGTTGGTGGTCAGTTTCTGGCTAGTGAATCTGTGTATGATTCCTCGTGGGTACAGCTCACTGCCTAGATCACTGGTTCTATTAGAAAGACTGAGTGGCTTCTTTGCATGTCACTTGTTTCTATTCCCTCTTGGGTCTTTTATCAAGAGCCCAGACCCTGCTCTTGACCCATGTGTGTTTGGCAGGCATCTTCTATGAATCCTGTTTTGATCTTTTGTGTTTAATTTTTGTTTTCATTGGAGATCATAACACTTGACTCTCTCTCTATCCCAGTTGAGTCTCATGACTTTCTGTGACACTGTTCCCGAGAGTTTCATTCAGGTTTGTCGAAAATAGACCACAGTTAGCTTTAAAGATGTCTGCCTACTATGTCTATGGTTACTGATTTCATAGCAGTAAAATGGAATATTTCTTGTATAGGCACAGGTGATCCCTGTCCAGGCATCAGTGCCTTCTTGTACCATCTAAATATGCCAAAGGCGCATCCAAACAACTTTTAGGCAAGTGGAAAAAGACTTCAATCTGTACCAGTTGTGAATTGTTTTGGTTATAAGAAGGAAACAAAAAAAAAGATAGCAAGTTAAGAAGGAGGAAAACTTGCTTGCAAAGAAACATTTAGAAAGAAAAAACATCAAGCTAGGTATGGTTCCCTAAGTGTGGTCCATCCTAGACCAGTGTTCCACTGGTGTTAAGGAGCTGGGCATAGTATGGGGAGCTTATCGTACATTTACTTGTCTTATGGTACTAGAGTCCCCAGGAGCCCTGACGGGCCGGGGATTTAGTTCTTTAGTGTAGGTGAGTCAGTTAAAGGGACAATAGTCAAAGCCTTTTACCTGCCAACCACCCGCTTTTATATTGCCCTTGGAGTAACAGGACTGAGCCTGGAGAACTCAACTGCAGAACTTTGAATCATTGCACCAGGGTTGAGCATTGAATGATGCAAAGCAGACAGCTCTAAGAGTCTTCAGAGTAGGAGCTGCAGTGAGGTTATAGATGACGCCAAGAGCTTGTGGAAAGCGGATGACAACTGAGATGTTTCAAATGAGCAGGTAAATCAAAATTGATAGTATGGAGTCCATTATTTCCAATTTAAGCTCTTTTCTAAAAGGCCAACTACTTTTCCGTTTGTTCCATTTTGTCACATGTTCCTCTTGTATGAAGTTTTGAGAGCTCTATCCACAAGGCAGGAGGGATTTCTGCACTGCCCGTGAATGAACTAGAGTTTGTTTTTCCTATCTATAATGTCTTTTTTGACGTTGAATTCTTGGGAAAGTATGTTTGCTTGAGACACAACTGTGAGGGACTCAGGCAGCTGTTCAATCATTTAAATGTAGATATAGATTGTTAAAACATATGTGAGTACATAAGAAGAAAACGTGGAGGTGCTTTCCTAGAATCTCAATAGAATGAGGCACTCTGTATGGCATGGATCTGGGGTAGCAATTATCTAAGCAGCTCATCAGAAACCCACTCACATCATCCCAGAGAAAGCCTAGCGGCCTGGCAGTGGCTTGCAGTTGGAAATTATACTTTTGTTTTGACAATGTAATCTCCATTGCAACAACATTCCTATTTTGCTGCCACAAGAAAATGAGCAAAGGCTACTCTGACGTGGTTAGATCCCTAATAGAAGTGGATTGGGGGGGGGGGTATTTGCAGAAACTCATGGCCAAAGGTAAGAGTGAATAAGCATGCTAGGTTATTATATAATGGGAAAATGTTCTTCTTATTGTCAGTATTTGTCTGTTAAACAAGTGAGTGGCTTGTGTCGGTGTTAGTTACATGCCTGTCTGTGTCTAGAAGCATTTATAATCAATATTAGAGGAGCATTTGGTCACTAGAACTGGAATTTATTTTCTTCTTTTCATTTTTTTTAAATGGAGTCTTGCTGTATTACTCAGGCTGGTTTGAACTCATAAGCGCAAATTATTCTCCTTCCTCAGCCTCCGGAGGATCACAGGCATGCTCAGTACATAAGGGTTATAATGGCATTACTTAACAGAACTATGCAATTAGATTCAATATGGTGTTTTATTTGAAAAATAATTTCTATATAATTTTGAAAACCTTAGAGTTCTGGGGTTTTTATTTGTTTTTCAAAATGCATTATGGTACACAGGCTTTAAAAACTGGGGAATGGGTACTTTTAGGTAGTTATAATACTGATACTTAAATGGTTTAGAAGCTGGGACTATGATGATTTAGGATAGGGAAAAATTCTAAAAATCTTTCTCATTTTTTCTTTTGAGAACTAGTGGAAAAGCAGGGAACATGTTTCAGGCGGCTTGCTTCTCCTGAAAAATCATGTATAGAACCCTGCTGAGATTTTTGCAGAGACAGCGTCTTCGCGAGGTTTAATAAGGTTAAGTAAGATGAGAAGTATGGGCTCCTAGTTTAATATCAGTAGCCTTAGGAGATGAAGAGACAGCAGAGAGACTGTGTATATAGCAAAAGGCTATTTTAAGACTTAGCAAGGAAATAGCCATAGGTCTTAGCCCCAGACTTTGGTAGTGGGAGAGCATAACTTTTTCTTGTGTAAACCACTCAGGCATCCGGCATGGGTGCTCAAGCAGACTAACAGAGACAGATCTCCTTCTCAGGTGTGAAAGCGGCCTTTCTTTTTTAACTTTCAATTCTTTTTTTTTTTTTTTTTTTTTTTTTTTGTGACAGTCTCACTACGTAATTCAGGCTGTCCTGGAACTCACTCTGTGGACCAGGCTGTTCTTGAACTCTGCCTCCTGAGAGCTGGGATTAAAGGCACGTGTCACCACCACCCTGCTTAGCTTTCAGTTCTTGCTCGTATTGCTAATGGAGTCTGCTTGCCAAGAAGAATGTAACTCAGGTGCTCAAGTCAGTGGGCTCAGGGTCACTGTACCCAGAGAACCACCACCACAGCCAAGAAGGCACAGCACTCCACCACCCAAATCCCTAGTCTGACTCCTTTCAAGCTGTATTCTTACCTTCTTTAAAGACAACCAAGTTCTTTCTTCCTGATATAGATTCATTTTGCCCCTTTTTGAGATTTCAGGTAAACTAAATTGCTTTATGTCTAAATTCTTGCACCCAACTTCATATTGGTTATAGTCGTCCACTGTGGGCATTTCAGTACTCAGGTGATGTCCTTGCTGTACAGCATTGCATTGCATGGGATGTGCCACAGCCAATTTACGTGTTCTGTTCTTGAGAGACGCAGGCTTGTTTCTCTTTGAGCTTAATAAGCCACTGCTGCCGTGTAAATTCTTGGGTGTACCCTTGATGCTTATGGATGCATTTTTGTTCAACAAATACTCTGAAAAATGCAATCATACGGGGTGTGTATGCTCAATAAAGTCAGTAGTGAAGAACAGTTTGCCAAAGTGACTAGGTCAATTTGCCTTCCTTCCAGAGGCATCTGGCTATTCACCTGTTCACAAGTAGCCAGCGTCTGATGCTGGTATTTGTATCCCCGTCACTCTGACAGTAAGATGGTTGCTCACTCTGGTGTTAGTGTTGATTTGCTCTTAGTTAATTTATAATTTCTCTGTAGCTGGGAAATATATAGGGAGTAGTATATATAAATATATGCAATCTGAAAGATCTTCTGAGACTTTTAAAAATCACTCTTTATAGTAAACATATCATTAGCCACAATAACTAGGTGTATACATATTGTATTAAAATTATATCATAACTATTGGAATATGGTGAAATATTTTTAGGCTTTACTACAACATGAAAAAGGCTAAGCAATAAAAGGATACAGTGCGTTTATCTGGGGTTAATTTTTCAAATTGCTGTTGTAGTTTTTCCAAGTATTTTTTTCGGTGCGTGTGTATATGTTTCTCTAAGCTTAATTTTTAAAAAGAATCCTGATTCTTAAGAAAATCAATGCCTATGGGTAAACTTCTGCTTTTGGCTTTGAAGTCAAATTATAGTTACCATGAAGAGCAGCTTCAGGACTAAACATGGGCTTCATTTTTTCAGTTACCCTTTCCCCATTACCCAACCATACACCCATCTTTCTGACCTTGGGAACCTATTTGACGTCAGTGATATTTCAGGGACTCAAGGATGGCTCACTCCTGCCCCTGCTGAAAAGTATCTCTTGCATGCTAGAGCTGGGCTGGGGGTTGTGTCCTGAAGGAGCCTTTGCCGACAGGCTTCTTGACGGTCTATTACAAACCTCATGGGATTTCCCACAAGAAGATGGTG